AATGCTTCATGAAAATATTAATTTTCGTAACTTCTGTCCAAAACATAATATATATGTAAAATGCAAGAAAGAGACTGACTGTTGTCACAGATGAGAGTATTAACTCTTTTGGTAACTGTTTAGCGGAAACTAAGCAGAGCCATAAGCAGTTACCCACGAACTAGATATACCTGTCTGTACTGGCAGCCAGTGTTTTTATAAAGATAATTTTAAAGCAATTAGATCTTATCATTGCAAACAGCAAATTATCCCACACCATCCTAAAAAATATGAATAAATTGATAATCATAAAATACTGTGACAACATGGAAGAGGAGGAACTTGATCAGAGAGCTTGAGCTGATTTTATTCAGGAGACAAGGTGGAGATGCTCGACCAATCAGCCTCGAGTTGACATAAGAGTGGCATGGCTTTTGTCCAACAAAGGGTTTAATAGTTTTACCATGTTCAAGGAAATCCCTGCAGGAGTAAAGGAATAAAAGATGGGAAAATTTGCTGTCTGGCATTTTACTTCAAACGTGACCTTGACTTTGAGTCAGCACACCTGTGGAATAGATCATTCACATATCTTGTTGAGGTAAATGTTTGGGCCAAGATAAGAAAATCCTTTAAAAGGTATAGAATTTATTGAGCTAACACAACGTATCTGGCATTTGACCATCATGTGTGACCTTTATATTGAGCCAGCACAGTAGTGACACTGGTTCTGTACATCTTTATGTTAGGCTTAATATATCAGCCTACAAGTTTGTAGAAAATCCTTTAAGTATAAAAATTATAAAGCTGACAATAAATATTTTTGACATTTAACCTTCAAGTGTGGCATTGACTTTGAGCATGCTTAGCTGTATCATGATTGTGTTCTGCGTTGACTAGTTGAGGTGAACATGTTAGTAAAGTATCAACAAATCTGTCAAGTGGTGTAAGATCTATAGAGGGGAAATATTGGAGACGGACCAACAGATGGACCGACACAATAAAGAAATTCCTGTATAGCCCATTCCTAATAATGTGGTTGGGATTATAAATTAGAAAATACATAATCTAAGAGCAAGTCAGACCTCTTAGTTTAAAGAAGCTACATGATAAAATTTTGACTGTTAATTAAATAATACAATATTAAGTATCTTCTACAAAACAAAATAATCTATGTTCTCATGATAAACTTACTAAATATGTTAAAAGGTCGGCATTTTAAAACAGAACCAGTGGATTTTCAGTACTAAATCATTTTTCTAGATGCTGGTGTAATAAATTGATAATGTTAAACAGATTCTCACCCGTATGTGCCAAAACTTAAGGCGGGTATTGCAACTGATGTCAGATTTCTAGTAGAAGCCTGCTGTAGGCATTTAAATATAGCATCTGTCAGCATCTCATCTTCCTGCTTCATGCCACCTCGCCAAAGCGGCCCTCTTACATGTATAATAGCATCTGCCTTAAGAGATCCAGCAGTACTAACAAATGCATCCCCGTCATCTAGGCTATCATTATCTCTAATATAGTCAGCACATTCTTTTTGGATTTCCTTACCACCTGTGATTAATGAAAAAAACCGATATCATGTAGACATTATATAAATCATTTCACAAATACCATCTGACTCAACTTTGTTTCTTTATTTCTTTAATAAAACATCTGTAGTTAGAAGGATATATATAATAATAAAGTAGTACATTTTGTATGTTTGGAGAACTAAATCAAAGTTTGACATCATAGAAAGGAGGCCATACAGTTTCTTTAAATTGGCATATTTAATTTAAATGCACTAGGAAAATGTAATTCTTAAGCAACTAATTCACTCCTTCACACAAAGAAACTTGTTTAATATCTAATTACCTACAGACTTGATACTGGGCAGAAAACTTTCACATGAAATTTATTCACAAGGGAGCAAACCTCTTATAATTATATTTGATTAAACTCCTTGGTATTCCTATCCATTCAATGAACTCTGTAGAAAAATATCTAACATATGTTTTATTTCTCTACAGTAACTACCTTTTAAAGATGATTGGTCTACAAAAGGCAAATTTCCATAGGTGTATCAAAAACATGAATTGATTAAACCGTAAGAAATGAATCATTTCAATATTTTGTATTGGATCATTTACCACTCAATATTCATATACATAATTCGTTTGGTTTTTGTTCTTGTCTAAGATACTAAATACTATCTGTAGTATCATTAAATTTTTCAGTATTACAGATTTTCCATTATGGACCTATTTCACTTTTAAGTGTATTCCATACCTGACAATAAAGGTTAAAGGTTTGGTATAACAGACCTTACATTATAGTTTTATTCACCTTCAAGTGTAAGTCATACGTGAAAACACTTTCTGAAAACTATAAAAACTAAGAATATGTATTGAAATATAAAACCAACCTTTCTTGACAATAGTATTTCCTAGCCCCCCAGTCAACGTAAGTTTGTCATCCGCTGAATTGACTATCATATCTACAGTTAGTTCAGTCATATCACCCTGCATCGTATATACATTTCTACAATCATACACTTTACTGTAGGCCACAATTTTCACTCCTTTGACTCCAATGTTAACCCTGACATCACTAACTATAGAACGCTCTCATATGGATTGTCATTTATTTCATCCTCATCATAATCACCTTTCACTGCCACTACACATTGGTGCATACTCTCGATGGTATTAAGGTTGTCTTTTCCTTTTGGTGTTTGCATGTGCTTACTTAAACCAGGGTTTAGTCATAATATGTTCTTTTCTGTTTTACTTTCAGTAGTAATTGATGCAGTTGTTGCAGAAGCTTGCTGCAAGCCATCTTCTGTCCACCACGAACTTCGAAACCCCCATATTCTGGGAACTGAAGATATCTGACCATTATAATTTGTCAAATCTTTAGCTATGTTTGAAATTTCAATTTTGTTATGCCTGCCGTCTCAATCAGGCGATGAACATTTCTTGTGCAACGGGACTTTAGCTTCAACGACTGTGTTTTGTCGTTAGACAAATTTTCAACAATATCCAAAATCTCATTTCATTAATGGTCGTCTGTTGCCAAATTTTTAAAATTTTTCATTTTAAAACGGCCCCGAAACTTTGATCCCCTACATTTTTTCCCGCAAAAGGTAATAAATTAAATTTCCCCAAATTTAGTTTTGGGCCCTTTGTCAGAGTTTTTAAAAACTGTTTTTTTTCAGCTTTTTCAAAGCTACAGTATGTTTAAAAAACAGAATGCCCCGAATGACAAAACACAAAAGCTTGGGATTGATCTTGGGGTGTGCAGTAAAATTCTAAATATAACCCCCAAAAAGTGTCCCAAATGCTGTGACACGGGGAAACTTTAAGCTTTTTTTAAAAACATGTTCTTTGGTCTGTTTTCCGTTGAGCAATCCTGGGCAAAATTCCCCCAATTTTTTCCCGAGCGATCTTAAAAGCAAAAAATAGCCTTCAAAATTTATACATCCCCAATTTCAGCAAACTCCCTACCTGGGCCTAGTGGCCCCTCAAAAACAAATTTTTATTCTTGTTCTGATTTATCTTTAAATTTGAGACCTGGGGGAAAAAAATTTTCCTTTCCTTTTTAAAGGGAAAATTTTTCTGCATAAAAAGCATTCTTTTTTTTCAAAAAGCGTTTTAAGGATTGAAATTTTTTTTTTCTTATAAAACCCTTGGGATTTTTTAAAACCAAATGAAAAAAATTGAAAATAACCCTGCAATTTATACAATCTCAATTAAATGAATCCAAAAATAATTTGAAAAAATAATTTCCCCCAAAAAAAATAATTGTGATAGTTTGGCCCAAAAAAAAAATTTTGGGGAAAACTGTTTTAAAATTAACCCGACCAGATGAAACGAATTAAAGAAAAAAACCCATTAAGTACCTCAAACTAAAATTTTTCAGTTTACACACCAAAAGGTGTTTTTAAAAGTTAAAACTGAAGAGCGGCGAATAGTTAGATAACTTTTTCAACCAATTCAAAAATATTCCCTTCAATGGTGCACATCTGATTCGATATCTCTATACCCTGAAATATTTTTGTTTTGAATATCAAAAGTTCCTTTTGTCAAGAGGAAAATGGCCGGATTACATGATTTAAATTCTTTTTTATATATAAAGGCCAAGGGATGAAACATAGTCTCTAGGTATGCATGGTTTGGCATTAACGTCAAAAATTTTTAACTAAGTGGGTAAAAGGAAGTGAATAAGCTACACAACTGTAATCGAATCCACAGAATGTGACCATGTGTCAATGTTGTTTGCCAAATATCAATTAGGCTGTGATAAGTAGTTGCTGCGAAAAACTAATTACGAAAATTTCCTACCACTGGTTATTAATGTCGAAAAATTTAACGAATAGGTTAATAGGAAGTGGATAAGCTACGGATCCGAAATCAAATCGCACCGGTATGGGGACCCATGTGTCAATGCTGTATGCCAAAATATCAAGAGGCTGTTATAAGTAGTTGCTGAGAAAACCTGTTACGAAAATATTTTCCCCGCCCGACCGCCGCCCGACATTCATTATACTATAACCCGGGTTTGCATCAGTGCAAACCCGGCAAAATTATATCTTTTCCCCTAAATATTCCCACTAATTTTTCCGACTAAGAAAAAATACTCTTAAATAATCATTTGAGATAATTTCACCAAGTAAGGCCTAATAGAAGTATAAGTGCGGATTACTTTTTATAATCCTATGAATCTGTAAATATGTAAAATACAATATGTGTGTCATGCTTACCTTGACATCGAGATTGTTTCATCATGCCTTCTTGAAAATCTCTTTTAGAATCACATCCCGTATGTCTTTCGTTGAACAGAGAAATATCTCATTGTCCCCTTCTAACGATATTGCTACCTTTCCTAGGTATTGTGCCTCTAATTTATGTAACTCTGTCTCTAAAAAGACTCTTGTCACACATATCTACTTCATTAGTGTGCTGATGAATGACATCATCGATGACTGACGCTTTAATAACACGTATGCATGTTTCAGATCATATTTCTTTTAAAACAGCATATGATTAAAGTCTGTTGAGATACTTTCCCATATGCAAATCCAATCCAGCAGACGTGAGGCTTTTTGTTGACATAATCGACTGTAAGCGAATTTGAATACAACTTTGACGATAATGCTGATAAGGAATATAAGAAAAAACAATATTGTTACTG